TGGCAAGTTTCAGTTCTCTCAGATGAGCAGTATTTAAGCATGTTTCATTAGCGTGAAAACTTTTTTGATTTACTCTGCTTAGTCTAATTGCTGCTTTAGTGAGGAAGGCTAAGGCCACTATTTCTTTTGAGGATTCCATGAGGATGACCTTAAATTCAGTATGTGTAGTTAGTGATTTACTTAAGATACTGACGCTTTGCTTAGTTTTCTGTGACTGCCCACTTGGAGCCTTATAAATAGCTAAAACAGAGATACTGATGTAAACACAGCTGAGTGGTCTTAAAGCTGTGTGACCTGCCAGCAGGAACGAGCAGGCAAGGCCGACCACCGGGACGGGGCAGCTATGCAGTGTTCTGTGACACTGCGGCCATGTGAGAACGTTCTAGGTTCACAACCTGGGATCTCTGTGCATTCTGGGCACTTCTGCATACCCCCGATCTGGGCTGGTGGGCTGGACCATGTTTGGGATGCCAGTGCTGGTTTCTGTCTCTCTCTGCCCCTCTCTGCCTCCCTCTGTCATGGAATAAACAGTGAATACATGAGTAAATAAATAAAGAGATGAGCAGGGATACTGAGCACCAAAGGCACTTTGTATATGTATCTATTGGGAGCCCTTTGCTGAATTTTAAGCAGATTATGTTACAGTTTCTGTATTTCATAAAACTCACCCAGTAGTATAACAGTTCTTGTTAATAGATCTTGAAAGTAGGATGCGTTACCTTAACAAGTGTATTAAGAACATCTAAAATCTCATGTATTCATTTAGAACCATGTGTTTATTTAAACTGAAAATTAGTCACACATAAGAATTCAAGAAATGTCATGCATGTCAGGCTTGTGACTTAGAGCCAAATCCTATCTTGTTCTTGGGAAGAGGTAGATATTTTGTGAGGGAGTACTGGAATTGCTTCCCTTGAAGCTAGCATCAGGAAGTTACTAGTTTTTCCTCCAATGTAAGAGCCAGTGTTACCTTTCTTGGAGTCAAGGTCTCCACGAGAGCACCTCTGTTGTAATGGAGGTGGTGCTGACCGTGGAAGGCGTAGTCTAAAAAGCCCTAGCACTGTAAGTCCCTGCCACTAAGAGAATGTTTGTCGTTGCACATAGGTTTTCCCAGGAGTTTTGTGTTGATGCCCCTTTTGTTTTTATCTTTCAGAACTGTGTACTGTGATGAGACTGCTGATGAATCCTCAGGAATTAATGTACATCAGCCCACAGCTTTCGCTCACAAGTTACTTCAGCTCTCTGGAGTGTCTCTCTTCTGGGATGAGTTTTCTGCATCAGCAAAATCTTCCCCAGTGTGTTCAGCTGCACCAGTGGTAAGAAGAACAAAAACCAAACCCCCAAATGTAGTCATTGATTTTTACCAGGTTTATATGTGGGCTGTTAAATTTTGTTAGGATATATAATACATGTTTATGAGTCTCCACCTGATTTGGAACCTTACACAGATATTCAGTAATGGAGATACTTATTTCAGAGATTTAAAACTCATAACTAATGCCTTTCTACCCGTTTGCCATGTCTTAGTTTGATAGAGAAACTTGGATACTATGACTTCAGGAAAAATAGTATATTAGTATCAACTATCCTTTGCAATAAAAACAGGAAATCAAGCAGTTCATATTTACCTTGTGTAGTGAATATATTGTTGAAAAGTTATAGCTCATTTCTTTGAAAACCATTATAATTAAAGACCTCTTTTAATTCCTTCCAAGAATAGAGAATCCTTTTATAAGTTAGTCATTGCATAACTACCTTTCATGTTATTTCGCAAGTAACATAACCTTTTCTTGATTATACAGTGTCTAATAGGCTTGCTTATTGCCGTTACTTCAACAGATATTGTGCTTTTTCCATAAAGTTCTTTCCATGAGTTGCCTTTATTACCAGTGTGCTGTGCTCACAGGCTGCTGTGCTTCATCTTAGCTGTAAGATACTGGTTTATCCATTGTGACAATATAATTTATTTATTTTTCTCAGGTTGTCATCCATCATTGACATTTATTTATATTAAAGTATTTTGAAGAATTATCTTACTTTTACTGCAGGAAACTGAGCCAAAGCTGTCACCTAGCTGGAACCCAAAAATTGTCTATGAACCACATCCACAGCTTACTAGAAGTTTACCAGAGGTAGCACCCTCTGACCCAGTGCAGATTGGAGGGTTGGTTGGTAGATTGGAATTGAGTCTCACATTGAAACAGAATGAAGTACTTCCTGGAGCTAAGGTCAGTATTTGTTTTATTTTCTGTGGTAAAAGTCAAATAAAACTACCAGTATTTTTAATCTATGAAGCAGTCATAGATTAAAGCATCGATTACTACAGATGATGCTGTAGCTAGTGTACTTGCTCTCTGGGAGTAACATCATCATTCTCTTGTGGAGTCAGTCGGGGCCACTGTCCTCAGGTCACCAAATTTATGTGAGGACTGCAGCTCAGGTTTTAGAGCTCTTTTCTAGACTCATTTTCCCCCATTCTAACAATTTAAAATGAAAAAAACCCTCTTTCTTGTATTAAACATGGTTTCATTAGTTCAGATGACTAGGAATCTATTAAATCATCTCTATTATCATAAAACTAAAACGTTTGAAGAAGAGATTTGGAAAGCAAGAGGTTGACTGTACAGTGTTTAATTATATTTATGTGTGTAAAACATCTACGCATCTACTTTGAGCAGAATGACCATATTTATAGTTGTACACTATTTATGAAAAAAAGATTTATTTTTTTCTATTATGTTTCATAGCTTTTTGAAAATATTGTGTAAAGGCAACTGTACTCATTTCCTAGGGAACAATATTGATCAGTCTATTGGAGAATCAGGAAACTTGGATTATTTATTCAGTTACAAATGTATTTGCTGGGCTAACCAGCGGTGTGGTGGTTAGGGCAACTGGATCACATATGACTGACTATGTGGTTCAAGACCTGGACTCGGTGTCTTGAAAAGCATGTCAGGGGTGTATGTGTGCGCATGCGTGCATGCCAAAGTCTTGAGTGGAGAATGGAGAAGAGAGTGTGACTTGACCATCCTCCCTGGGAGGTGCTTTCTCACTTGCTGTTTGTCTCTGTCTATTGCTGTCTCTATTCAGCAAATGCATGACTCTATACCAAACAATAAAAATGTGTGTACTAATGCTTATTTTCATACTTTGAAAACTTTCTTCCTGTATAGTCTATTTTTTCTTTCTTTTTTTTTTTTTTAAGAGATTTTTGTTATAGGGTGCGTACTCTGCCAAAGAGACATAGAGAGACAGAAAGTGAGAAATCACCTACCATTGGGATGGTCATGCTGTAACCCCTTCTCCTCCATTCTCCTCTTGGGACCTTGGGCATGCACACACATTGAAGCCCGGTGTGTGTTTAAGCCACCAGGTCTGGGACTCGAACTGCGATTGAGTACATGGGAGTCCAGTGACATAGCCATTATGCCAACTGCTGGTTCCCTGCCTGGTCTGAGTTTTAAGCCACTGGGTCCATGACTCGAACCGCAGTCAAGCTATGTGAGAGTCTAGTGATAAAACCATTACACCATCTGCTGGTTCCCCTGTATAACCTGTTTAAAAATGTAGCTTAAATTAGGAAAATGCTAGGATTTGTTTGCTTATATATGGGTCCTCCTCACTGTACATGTTTGAATGTCAGGCCCTGTGCACATTCTTGGGACTGTAGCAGAGATGATTGGAAGAGACAGTCTTTGTCTTAATAAAAGATATAGTAAGGTGTATAGAAATTGTGGGAAGAGGGGGCCATTATATTCATGTGAATATATATAAAAAGATTTTCAGGGACCAGCAGTTAGTGTAATGGCTATGTTGCTGGACTCCCACATAGTTGACTGCGGTTCGCGTCCCGGACCTGGTGACTTAAAACTCACGCCAGGCGCGTGTGCATGCGTGCCCAGGAAACCGAGAGGAGAATGGAGGAGAAGGGATTGTGGTGTGGTCATCCCCCCTGGGGGGTGATTTCTCACTTTCTGTCTCTCTGTTTATCTCTGTCTGTCTGGCGAGCGCACACGCCCTATAGCAAAAACCTCTTAAAAAAAAAAAAAGAATTCCAGAGAATTTAAGAAGTACAGAACTCCTTCCTTGGTAGGATTAGACTTGGAGGAGGAGGGAAGTGATGACCAGGATGAAGACATTCCTCTTACTAATTACTTTCCCCTTTGTTTACTCCTCTGGGTTATCGCAGATGGCACCAAATCCTTTCACAAGCTCTTCAGCCTCTTCCTAAAACAGCTCGATGTAGAGCAGTAGTAGAGCAGTAGTCATGGGTGTGTGGAGACACTGCAGGGAATCCCCTGCTGTGGTGACAGTGTTGGGAAACTAATACCTCTGCGTCTCTGGGGAATGCATTTGCCATTTTCTTAAGGAGGAAGAATCATAGCAGTAACTTGAAGAGTTCTGCTTTGATTGATTATACGTAGTCCTCAACAGTGTATATTTTTGATCCTTATGCATACCCTAACTTTTGCACATTAGGTATTGATTTGTGTAAGTAGCTTTTACTTATGGTTTCTGGAGTTCTGTGTATAGGTGACAAACGAACTCCTGGAAATAGTATATGGTGGTGGTGTTTGCCAGCCAGTTTTAGAGTTCAGAGGTATTGCTATCCTTGCCTGTATAGTCATTTTTGTATGATACCTGGGCTGTTTGAGCACAGTTTACTCTTATTTAATGAAAATGAAATACTAAATGGAAAACAAAGTTCTGGATTTTAGCACTGAGAAGCGTAGGTTTCGTAACCTCAGTGCAGTGCTGACAAAGATGGCATTAATTAGGTGTGCTCATAGTGCCAGATTTTTATAAGGCTTAAGTCTTTTCAACTATCGGTTC